TCCCCAAAACCCCAAAACCCCAAAACCCCATTATTTGTAAAAATAATAATTATTTAACCAAAATGGCAGAATTAGTATCAACAGGTCTTCCTAGTAATGAACATGCCTTCAGGAACATAATCTATCTTTCTCCAGGAATATTTAATATGTTTCAGACACAATTAGGTGTCACTGGGACAAGCGACCAGATAGATGTAAAAATTAAGAATTATATCATCAGAGCAGAACTCCTTGCAGATGGATCTGTGGATGATATTCATTTCGGTGTCAGCGGACCCTACAGAGAGATGTTTGGTATCTCCAAGATGGACGCAGTCTTCACTGAGCCTATTAGAGTTAAGAAGACCAAGTTACTCTCACACTGAGATTGAGAAGTGGACATTATCCAGTTAGGTAGCAAGCTTAAAGGACAGACTTTTGATATGAAGGAATCTGAGCTTGAGAAAATTTTCAGAAAAGGTACAAAAGATCTTATTCTGAATAAACACCAGATATTTCTCCTAAAAGCACCTGATATGATCCTTAAATGTACGGTGAATAAAATCCAGTTCGTCCAAATCGGAGAGAAGGTGGTCAAAGGGGGATACGGATTTGTCGAATCTGAAACTGAGTTCTCCTTCAAACCTAGCCTCACCACTAGCAAAGTCATGAAAATCAAATCTGATAAGCTCAAAGAGAAGGAAATCTTTAAAAAGGACTTTAATTTCCAAGAAATGGGTATTGGTGGACTTGACAAGGAATTTGAAGAAATCTTCAGAAGAGCATTCAACTCTAGGAGGTACCCACAAGTCGTCTTGGATAAGTATGGCATCAAACATGTGAAAGGAATGCTTCTCTATGGACCACCAGGAACAGGTAAAACCCTGATTGCACGAGAAATAGCTAAAGCTCTTGACTGTGAAGAGCCAAAAATTGTCAACGGGCCTGAAATTTTCGATAAATACGTAGGTGGAAGTGAAGAGAAAATGAGAGAAATCTTTAAAGAAGCTGAGGAAGATCAAGCCAAAAATGCTGATGAGTCTCAACTCCATATTATCATTTTTGATGAAATTGATGCAGTTTGTCGTCCTAGGGGATCTGTTTCATCTGGAACAGGAGTACATGAATCGGTAGTCAACCAATTTCTTGCTAAATTAGATGGAGTTGATTCTCTTGATAACATCCTAGTCATTGGTATGACTAATAGAAAAGATATGATAGATGAAGCTGTACTAAGGCCAGGAAGGCTTGAAATTCATAAAGAAATTGGGCTTCCTGATCACTTTGGAAGACTCCAAATATTCGAAATCCACACAAGAAGCATTAAGAAGAACCAACTCCTTGGAGAAGATGTTGACTTTGAATACCTAGCTGAATTCACTAAGAACTACACTGGTGCCGAGATAATGTCTGTGTGCAGAAATGCTATCCAATACACTCTCTTCAGAGATATTGATGCGAAGAACATCGGAAAACTTGATTTGAAAAACATTATGAATAGAAAAGTGTCGATGGAAGACTTCAAAATGTCTCTTGAGGAGATCAAACCTCAATTTGGAGTTGACCAATCAGGATTTGACAATAGACTCTCTGGAGGATTCATTGATTACGGTGCTGGATTTAATACTTTACATGAAGATTGCAAAGCTTTAGTAGAAAATCTAAAGAACAGTGAAACCACTTCTTTATTGTCTGTATTACTTTCAGGAGAAAGAGGGGCAGGTAAAACTGCTTTTGCAGCCAAGATCGCAATGGAATCTGGCTTCCCATTTGTAAAAATGATAACTCCAGAAGACTTTGTTGGATACTCTGAGGCAGGAAAGTTAGCTAAAATCACAAAAATATTTGATGATGCTTATAAGTCTCCTCTGTCATTGATTGTCTTAGACGATATTGAGAGGCTAATAGAGTTTATTCATATTGGTCCAAGATTTTCCAACCATATTTTGCAAGCTTTGCTTGTCCTAGTCAAAAAGAAGCCTTCTAATAAAGATAGAAAACTATTTATCATTGGAACTACATCAATCAAATCAATCTTAAGTGAACTAGACCTTGTTGATGGATTTAATGTGAACATAAAACTACCACTTTTGAAAGAGAAAGAGGAAATCGTTGAAGTTCTAAACTCAATCTCTGACGATGAAGCAACCAATCAAGACATAGCTACAGCTTGACCAAACATTCCAATCAAAGAGCTGATCCTTATCGCAGAGATGGCGATCCAAAAAGGTGGAGGTGTGCTTTCAACTGATATCTTCCTTGAATGATATGAGACTACCAGATAATTTTTACCAATCAGATTCATTCCTAACAGGATTTTATGGGGTTTTGGGGTTTTGGGGTTTTGGGGTTTTGGGG